GTGTGAACAGCCCCTTATACTCAATACTGCAAAAGACTCTAAACGTGATCGCAGAGGTCAAACACATCCATCTAGCTCTTGTTTACATAGACCAACACTGAAAGAGCAGCACAGTCGAATAAAAAGTGGTGCTCGACCCTGAAAAGAATACCTGCAAATAGTGTTGAACCTTAGCTTAGCACACAGTCACATCTCACTGGGTGTCCTGCAATATTGGGTAAATATCATTAAGATAACAACCCAGAGGTGGACATTCATCTGTTGACCAGTTCTCGAAGTGTCCCAGTGACCAAATCTCCACATCTAATCTATTTTCCAATGGGGAATGAGAGAGGAATCCTTCCCCTCGCTTCAGGTGAGCGTGTGGGTATGTATAAGCGAAGGTATGCTTGCAATCGCAGGCTGAAAGGCTGAGGGATTACATTGTGAAATGGTGGGAGCCAGCGGAGGTTATCACGGGCCGGATCAGGTCATCTCTTTCTTGCAAAATAGACGGTCAGAGAGCACAGACTGACAATCCCAGAGAAAACAGAACTGTGTGCTAGTCAATTTTGAATAACAGATAAATAGCTGCAGACTACACATTCCACAGTGTTTGGCAGGAAAGATGTCCCTGAGGAGTGATGAGTTGCACGATAATACATTTCAATGGATGAAAAGTACTGTGTAGATTTAACTCAATAGATTTAGCTGCCCTCTTCCTGATACACTGATCGCAGCCGTTAACAGAAAGTACAATTATTGTTATTCACCTTGCAGCATCTTCAGGACTACGTCAACGATGTGTTGATCTGTAGCATCACGACCCTGGAAAGCCAAATCATAAAAATGAGGAAAGCACACTTAAAGAGAAAATTCAAAATATTTTCTGCAAGTGTTTTTCTATTGTGCTGAGCTCTGCATACTATATTGCAACCTGTCTGGCTGGTGTAACACTTTGGCTTTGTTGTATTGGAGGCAAAACATGCTGAACAGAATTGTTTGTTGGGTAATGTAGGTTGGGAATTCTGTGCTGGAAATTGTTCTTGAGGTTTTGTTGATGCTGTTCAACACTCACAGATGGTCCTTGTATTCCTGGCATCCCTGGAACTCCTCTTTCTCCATGCAGGCCACGTGAACCAGGTAAGCCTGAAGGACCCTGGTCTCCTGGTTTACCGGGATCTCCAGTAGGGCCGTTGTGCCCTGGATCACCAGTCACACCTAGCTGTTGATAGAGGAAGCAGTAATTAAGGAAATATAGAAACTGGGATGTTCAGTATTGTTTTATAGGATGATGCTGAAGTTAAATAAATCATTACCCTAAAGGTGAAATATGTCATTTCTTTGCCACTAGTGCTACCAATTGAAATAGCAAAAATAATGAAAATATGAATGATACTTACCATTTTTCCCGTTTTTGCAAAATGTTACAAAGCAAATATTAATTACAAAGCAGATAATAACAATTATTCATTAAAAAAATAAAATAATTTTTTTTTTGCACAATTTACAGTCAAGAAAAAAATAATTAGTCTGGTAGCACAAACCTTGTTGCATGCCAAAGTTTTAGGCAGAAGAATAATAAGTCCGAGCAAGCTCATACGGATGATTGTTCCCAAACAGGTTTCCTGAACATGCCCCATAATCCAGTGTTATTTTAGCATTATTAAAATACTGTTAATATGCTTACTTTGTTAATATACTTAATAAAAACTATTTAATATTTAATTAATAAATAATAATTTTATTGTTAACTATATTTGTTAATAGTTTGAATTACCTTTTTTATTTTTCAGCTTTTATTTTCTTTTTAGTTTACGTTTTAATAATTTTTATGTGCTTTTGTCATTTTTATTAGTTCAGTACTCCTATTTCAA